ACTATCATATAGACTAGATATAAATCAAAGATCACAGAGTTCTTAAGGGGAAGAGTTAGATGGAAGTACTGCTTTCAGAAGTGTATTGATTTAGGAGGCATATATGTTGAGAAACAATAGCTTTACATTTTGATATTTTGTTTAATATAGGTTTCTATGATTTTTGTCTACCACTCATCTGCCAAAAAAAAAGGAAAGAAATATCTATTAGATTAAATATGTATACAGTTGCAAATAACAAGTGAGTCAGAAACACAGTATATAATCATGTTAAAAAAAGAGAAAAGGCTACTCAAGTACCCTTTCCTTTTCCATATAATTGTGACTGTTCTTTAATACTATGCCAAAACTCCAAAAGCAGTGATGTCTTAAATATTAGTTGCAATGTTGAATCTGAAATCAAATAAATGAGCTTTTTCATATAGTCTGTTATGTTAAAATCCATCACTTTGTAAAACCAAGTCATTTGGAAAACATTAGTTCTGATTAATTGTTTTTGTCTACTTCACACCACCAAAATGTAAAATCTCCCTGAAGGCAGAAACTTTGCCTGATTTGCTCATGTATAGCTAGCCCTCCCCCCTCAGAACTATGCTTATCACATAGTAAACCTTCAATTAGTATTTGTTGAACTAATAAACAGTAAGCACTGTGGCTCTAGATAAGCACTGGATTGCTAATCACAAAATCTGCAGTTCGAGTTCAGCAGCTGCTCTGCAGGAGAAATATGAAGCTTTCTGTTCCTACAAAGATTTATAGCCTTGGAAACCCTATACAGGGTTCCTATGAGTAGACTGCAACTAGATGGCACTTATCAACAATAAATAGTATATAGTATAAGGAGCTCTGGTAATACAGTGGCTAACCTCAAGGTCAGCAGTTCAAAACTACCAGCAGTTCCTAGGGAGAAAGATGAGGCTTTCTGTTCCAGTAAAGATTCACAGCCTCGGAAATACTATATAGGGTCGCTATGAGCCGGATCCGATCCCAGTGGCAAACCACCACCGCCATACTACTAAAGGTAAGGTCAGTAGTTCAAATCCACCAGTCACTCCTTGGAAACCCTTAACGTGGATCAACTTGACAGCACTCAACAACAATCTATTACAATTGTCTGTTTTATATCAAAGTGGCTCTGCCTCATCCACCTCTGAATTCCTAGTCCCTAACAGGGGTTTCATGGACTCCTGCTGTGACGCTGTAGGATCAGATCAGCACTGGACTGGGAACCACAAGATAGGAAGTTCAAACCCACCAGCTACTCCTAGGAAACCCTACACAGGGTCGCTATGAGTTGAAACTCGATGGCACTTACCAACAACAGGGCCAGCCGCGGTTTATTCTGTTGTTTTGTTCTGTTGTACTAAGGGTCCCTATGAGTCCACTCTGACTGAACAACATTTGACAAAAACAACATCAGTACTCCGCATATACTATCCCATAGGTTTTTAATGAAATGAATCTACAAGAAGCCCATCATATATCCTCAGCCTTTCAAGCATTGTCCGACACACACTTTTCTATGAGAGGGCACGTGGGCTTTCCCAAGTAAGAGATTTCAATTCCAATTCCCACACTTGATATGTAACCCTGGTTATCCCCAGAATAACCTAGTGAGACAGTGTGACCGTCAGAGCTAGAACTTGAACTGTGCTGTAGGGCTAGAGGAACAGCACTGGACTGCAAACCGCAAGGCTAACAGTTCAAACCCACCAAGCTGCTCCTCGGAAACCTTACACAGGGTTGCTATGGGTTGGAACGGACTCGACGGCACTTAACAACAACATGACAAGTCCAGAGAAGGGAACAGTTCTGACTTGACTTGAGATCAAAGCAGGTGGCTGGACTCCAAACGCAGAAGGGGAACAGCAAGGAGGAGGAAGGGCCCCGGTGAGTGCAACCATAGTCTAAGGCCCTCTTTTGACAGCTGAAGAAACTAAAGCCCAGAGAGGAAAAGTGACTTGTCCGACGTCAGAGCCTGTTAGCCAGAGAGAACACCACTTTATCCAGACTCCACACGACACCCAGTTGCCTATTTCGGGTGATGCCCTCCGTGCCCAGCCCCAGTCGGCGCACGTGCTCCGAGGTCCCAGGTGCCGCCGGCTCAGGGCCGGCTTCCCATCTGGATCCAAAGCTGGAGTCGACGCAAGAGTACCGAACTCCTACGCGCCCTCAGCCCGTTACCCACCCCGGGCCGGCGGTTAGTAACGCACACTGCGGAGACGGCCCGGATTGCCAGCTCAGCTCCAGCCGCTTACCTAGCCGGATCCCGCGGGAACCTGAAGAAGGCCAGATCGGACTGCGTGCTCTTCCGCGTGCAGTTGGGGGCAGCGCAGAAGTTCGGCATCGTCGCCCGCCAGCCGGCCGGCCCAGCTCTCCCCTCCCCGCCTCCTCAGGGCAGCCCGCCCGCCCGTCGCCCGTCGGGGACAGGGAGGGAAGCCAGGACCGGTGCGCCTCAAATGTAGGTTTAGATTCAGCTTCTTTAGCACAACTTGATACCATGTTGCCGGTTGGTAAGTCTGCTACCTGTGTTCCTGACTACTTCATGTAATCAGAAGCTAAGTTTTTAGTGTTTCCATCAGGTATTTTTTTGACATCTTTGAAACAACCCAGCTGAAATAAAACATGCCTGTGGTCATGTCATGTCTATTTTCAGTCACCACCTGAAAAATCATTACATGATTTTAGCAAAATTTGGCTTCAGAGTTTTGCAGGTACAGTGTCATAGAAAACTCAGCAGAGAGCTATTATTTTGGATTCTAAATGACATAGCATGTGTATTCTTAAAGGTTGTCTTTCCCTGTCATAAATCGGCATGTCAGCATAACACCAAGAAGCCAAGCTAAAGACTTATTGCTACAGAGTAAGCAAAACAGATCACAGACTAGACACGGGGATACTGTTAATTATAGCAGTGTCTCTAGGGGGTACTGGGAATGTAGACCACACCAGGTGATATTTTCAGAAGGAATGATGCTTAAATGATCATTTCATGGAGTGTTTTAGCAGAAATTTCCTATTTTAATTAATATATCCCCATAATTAGTTAAAAGAACAAACACTGTTTACGTGTAGCAAAACCTACAAAGTTAAACTATGTTAATTTACTTTTAAATCTTCTAATGTGCTCCCACCACTCACCTGGCAGTTTGTCATACATTGAGAAGAAAAGAAAGAAGGAAAAGATCAAAATGGATGTCAGAAGAGACACTGAAACTTACTCTCCAGCACAGAGATGTTAATGCAAATGGAAGAAATGAGGAGGTACAAGAGCTGGACAGAAATTTTCAAAGGTCAACACAAGAAGACAAAGACAAATAGTACAATGAAATGTGCAAGGATGTGGAATCAGAAAACCAAAAGGGAAGAATACGTTCAGCATTTCTCAAGCTGGGGGAACTGAAGGAAACATTCAAGCCCTAACTTTCATTATTGAAGGTTTTTCTAGGCAAATTATTGAATGATGCATTAAGTATCAAAAGAAGATGGAAGGAATACACAGTCCCTGTACCAAAAGGAAATGGTTGATGTTCAACCGTTTCAAGAGGTAGCATGTGATCAAGAGCCAATGATACTGTAAGAAGTTTAAGGTGCACTAATTGGCAAAGGAAAAGGCAACAGGAATTGATTTAATCAAAACTTAAATCTTTCAAGAAAGTGAGCTGGCACAGAATGCACTCACTCATTCATCTCTGCCAAGAGATTTTGAAGACAACAATCTGGCTGACTTATTGGAAGAGATCCATATTTGAGCCCATTCCAGAGAGGTGACCCAACATAATGTGGAAATCATCAGACAATATCTTTGATATCCCATGTGATACAGAAATGGCTGGGCCAGGACAGGGCAGTGTTTCATTCTCTTGTACATAGGGTCACTATGAGTCGGTACTTACTCGATGGCTCTTAACAACAACAACAACAACAATGAGCTCTGGTCAGTGATGTCATTATTACCCAATCACAATGATGCTTCCAATTTAGTAGTTTTGTTTGCATGCTTTATGAGCATGTACTATTGTTTTTGCTGCTGCCAGTGTTTTTATCCTCTTCATTTTTTATCAAATGTTCTGGTG